AGAGAAAGAAAGAGAAAAAGAAATAGGCCTGGCTATGCCATCTTGGGATTCTGCAGAGTTTCACTATCAAGAAGGACTTCACGAGATGTGGCCACAGGGTCTTGAACTTCCCAGCCTTCAAACCATGAGCCTGTGGCAATGCATTGTGATTTAAAAATACAAACAAAAAACAAAACAACAACAAAAAACTCTTAACTTCTAAAACACTGGAACTTTTGCTGGGCCTCCCAGCCAGGGTTAATAATAATACATGTAGAGGTCACTTAAGACTTGAGGCTGTTATCCTACTGCGGACCCAATCTGCTTGTTTAACCCACCCTTTAAGAGAACAATGGAAAAGCAACATTATTTGCCTTGGATTTCTCTTGTAATTAACTTTCACTGCCAATGCTAATGTATAGATGTGATCTTATGTATTCTTCCACGCCCCTCACCCAGAGTAATGCATGTGTGTTTATATGTGTATCATGTGCTGAAAACAGCAAAATTAGAGGTTGAAAATGATCGTATAAAAATGAATATCCACCATAAATCCTGAAGACAATATTTGGATATTGCTTGGTAAACAATGATGTTTATAGTACTACTATCTGGGCCACTTAGGGGCAATAGGAACCAGTGACTTAATCTCTTGTAAAACTTTGTTAAAGATCTCCTTCCCTATGAGATGTTTTCCATGCTGTTCAATAAATACAGAACAAAGCCTTCTGTCATAGACAGATACGCACAGTCACACACAGACTCAGACTCTCTGGGACAGATTTACATGACAGATTCAGACTCAGGCAACAGAGAGGATGGAAGACAGGGCACCTGAAGTAGAGAATTCCAGTCTGGGCTCGGTGGTGATTAAATGGCATCAGGGGAAGGGTTTTCTTCCCTAACGCCACACTGATGTGCTACTGGTGATACGGAGCTTATTATCAAGTGCATTCAAGCTGACCTGATTTGGGTGCTTTGTGTAGGAAGATGCACTGCATTTAGTCCACTCACGAGCTGAATACGCTTCTATAGCTAAAAACTTTCCCCAGTTGTGCAAACAAGCAGGGCAGATCCTGCTGACCACTCTAACTGAAATGAGAAGTGACCTGTGGTGCAGGAATGGCCAGTGACTTAATTCAGTAGCTAGAGACTTGGAAGGACCAAGAAGGCAAGACTATTGACAGGGACGCTTGAGAGGAAGGGGAGGGGCATATGGCGACTCCTTTAGAAGGGATCTAGAGGGTGGGAGACTCTTCAGGTCTTTGTGACACAATCCAAAGGCTCCACCTACAGGAAGTATTCAATAATCAGTGAACAGCTGAGCCAGTGGCTCGGCAGCTGCGTGTGTTGCTCTTGGAGACCTGTGTTCAGTTCCCAGCACCCCCACACGATGTAGCTCACAACCACTTGGAAGTCCAGCTCCAAGGGATCCCTCTCCTGGCCTTTGAAGGCACCTGTACTCATATATATTATATATTACATGTATATAGCATTCAAATTTATATAATATAATTTTTAAGAATTGATTTATCTTCCACATTTCAGTCACTTTTATCTACAGACATTCCAATATCGCCCAGTGACTCGTGAACACAGACTACACAGCACTCAGCAACTTGGATTCTCCCTCATCACAGCCACTTTGGCTGCAGCTTCTGTTGGATGTTTAGCCGTGTGCTGGCGAGTTTTGTGTCAACATTCTAGCCATAAGCTAGAATGATTTGGTTTGAAAGAGGGAACCTCAGCTGAGAAAAAGCCCCACTATACTGGTCTGTGAGCAAGCCTGTAGTGCATTTTCTTGATTGATGATTGATGTGGGAGGGTTACCCCTTGGTTGTGGTCCTGGTCAGTAAAAAGGAGGAGACGGAACAAGTCATGGAGTGTAAGCCAGTATGTGACATTCCTCCATGCCCTTCGCTTCAGCTCCTTCCTCAAGGTTGCTGCCCTGCTTGAGTTCCTGCCCCGGCTTCCCTTGGTGATCGAGTGTAAACTGAGTTATAAACTGAGCCCTTTCTCCTTAAGGTGCTTCGATCACGTTGTTTTATCACAGCAATAGAAACCCTAAGACAGCTGTCCCCCAACTGAAACCAGTCCTGGCACCCTGAAATGGTCTAGGCCTGACTGCAGCAAAGCCAGGAACAAGATATCGCTGGAAAGATATGGATTCCCTCCAGAGTGACATAGCTCATCATCTACATGCCAGAATCTGAAGACTGAATGCCAAAACCCTGCCCAAGGCAGGACTGGGTGCCACAATCTGCCCAAGGCAGAACTGGGTGCCTCCTGCCCTGGCCCTCAGAAGACCCATTTTTCCTTTTGGTGCTACCAGTGGCTTCCACATATGTGAGGTTTGCATGAGTGCAACCACGAATGGGTCTGGGAAATGTAACCCTCAGCTTTCTAGCCTGCACAGTGGGAAGAACAGCAGAGGGACCATAATGGCTGCGGACTGAAGTAGTCTTCAGCAGGAAGTAATGAGTTATCTTTTGCTCAGAGTTTCTCTGGGTTTAGATTTGCTGGCTTGCTTAACAGGCATCCACCCACACCAACATTTATAGACTTACTGAGTGCTTATTCACCACCAGGGTTTCCCACTCAACCTTGGCTCTCATGAAGAAACTCGTTTCATCTATTATCATCATCATCATCATCATCATCATCACTACCATCCCCTGCATCATCACCATCATTGCCATCACCACCACCGTCATCACCATAGTCATCACTATCATCACCTTCATCATCATCACTATCAACACCTTCATCATCATCACTATCA